CTTGCCGCACCATTCATACATCCCATCCTTCATCATCGATTCACTACTATTCATCGTTCATCACCCATTCACCAAACACAATACACATCACTCAAACCTTCACCCACACCTTGTGCTGCAGCAAAGAAGAAGAAAAAGGACCCTTAGACGTGCTTGCCATTCAAGCTTGGATTGCTGGAACGTTTTTAGGTGTAATCCATCTTTTGTTTCCAATGTTTAATTTAAGTTATCTTTGTTTTGCGAACATGAGGAGCAATACTCATTTTAGCTAGAGGAGAATTCAAAGCCATGAACATATTTATAATATGAATTGATTACTTCCAGTTGTGATTTCATAAATCGTGAATGCAATTTACTTAACTGTTTGATTCAGAACTTATTCTTGTTTGTTGATTAAGGATGCATACTTAGTTTGCATGCATGAATTTGATGCTAGAATATAAGGGAGTTTCACCTAATCGTTATGAACTTATATTCATAAGTAGTGGAGGTTGCTAGTCACAATCGTGTTACGTAAACAGGAGTATCATGCTATTCATAGTTATGAATGCCTTGTCAATGCTTATGATTTTCACAAAGCGTAATGATCTTTGATTGTATCTCTATTATGCTGCTCATGTAAGGAACTATTGAAGAATAATTTGGTTGCCGATGCGTTATGCATCCAATTCAATGACTTAAAGAAAATCTAAGGGTTAATTAGTGCTGTTCACGGTTAATTTGGGGCGTTGAGGTTCATGGTTTATTGGAAAAGCAATTGGAAATAGATTTGTATGCAAGAGCGTCATGTGTGGAGAAGGACCCTCTAGCTAGCCAATCACCCATAATTTCCCCCAATTTCTTGCCAAACTTGTATAAGTCTTTAATCTACTTATCTTTACTTTAAATTTGTCAAAAACCCAATCCCCTTTACTTTGTTGTGTCAAATTAGTTAGAATATGTCCAAACTTGTGTTTTAAGTGTTTTGAGTCAAGTTAAAATCAATTTTCGTCCAAATCACCCTTTAGTGTCTAGTTTGAGTCTATTTGATTATTTTGTGTTGTTTTGAGTCTCTTTAGTTTGTTTTGAGTTCTTTGAGTCTAGTGAAGTGTTTTCAAGCCTAGTTTTGTGTTTTTTAAGTCAATTTTAAGTAGATTAGCAATCCCTTCTAATCCCCGGCCTAGAACGATCCCTACTTACATCTTTACTAAATTTGTCAATAAGAGAGTTTAATTTGAGTGCTAGTTTATATCACATCAGGCTCTTTTATTCTATGATTAGGGATTTTTAACTTGATTTATTATTACATATGGAGATTTTTTTTTATTAAGTTCTTCTAATTGATTTTTATATTTCAGTATTTTTCCTTTTGCTATGAACTTGCAGGATGAAATTATTTTTTTGGGATGCTTCTGTTTTTCTAGTGTATACAATATCCTAACTACTAATTTAACACTTGTACTGTACTATCGTATTTTTGTAGAGAACAAAAACTATTAAATACACTTTTGTTTTGATCTGTTACCAAGTTTTGTTGTTCAGCTGGATATTTCTTTGGTATATGGCAATGGCCAAGTCTTCTTTGTGGCTAACTGTTCTTGTCTTCACCTATTAGAACGGAATTGGTTTTTCATTAGAAAGCTTGAATGGCATGAAAAAACTGATAGATTACGCCACTGAAATTAATGAGAGGCCTTTGCTTGCGCAAGCATTGGAAACAGGCAACTTTGACCCCTATATTTCCTAGTTACTTTTGTTAATGGAAAGATTACATTTCTGATTACAGAAATGTAAAGGTACGGATATGCCATACCCGTTCCACCTTATAGTGTGTTGTCCATAACCTTTGGTCTCAACTCAAGTATAGACTAAGTTCTAGCTTTCTCTTTTATATTTATATTGCTCTAGTCTTGTACAATCTCAAGATGATTGAATAAACTGCAAACATTAACAAAAGCTCCAACTTCAATAACTTTCTCAACTTTACCAAATACTATAATGGGAAAAATGCATTCTCATTTCTCATCACCCCCTGGAAAACACATAAGATTTGTTTTCCTTTCCATTCCATGAACCAACGGAGCTTTAGACCTCCTTATGGGAGGTTTGAATTCTAACCCCCTCAATGTTTAGTTATTGGTTTGGTAACCCAAGTAGACAGACAGTTCAAAGGCTGAACCAACCTAGTCATGTAAGATTTTGTGGCTGGTTACTTCAGATTTTCCGTTTCATTGATCCTTGTACATGTTCAGGTTGTTAGTACGCCTAAGAAACGTAATAATTCCAATTTGACTGTGAGCTGATGTTCCTTTTTTAACCGATCCATGTAAACATTGTTTTTTGCAAATGCCATTTCATTCTTAATATTTGATTGAAATCGGGTGGTTCAAGCTTTGGAAGGAAATCTTTCTCCAGATGAGTTAAATGAGGGAATTATACCATGTCACATTACGATATTCAGTTATGGAAGCTTAGAGTACAACACTAGTGAGTACAGGGGCGTGGATTTGGATACTCTTCTCGACATGTCCACTGATGAGCTCGTCAAGCTCTTCCTTGCCATAGCTCGCAGAAGGTAATAAACAAATTCCTCGATTTGGTTTCTTGGTTTTATTTTTGGTGGATTTATGAATTGGGTTTGAATTGGATTGAGTGGATGTTAGAATATGGGATAAATTACATAAAACTATCTCTGTGGAGCCAAAAATAATCACAAGGCGACACATGGATTTTTGGGTGAAGATGACAAATTTACCCTCGAGGCATACCGAGTCTCCTACACACGAGCAGTGGAGAATGATCCATCAACCTAATCAGGAGTACCCAAAATAGGTAACAAGTTCAAATTTGTCTCATTCATCCTCATTCCATAACCTCCAAAAACCTCCTAAAACATTTCTTTTATTATGATAATTAGCCAATTAATATATTTATACCTAATTAATATATTAATTGCTAATTGAATCACCAAATAACACCCCAAAACACACTTAAGGTTGGCCACACCCCATTCCCTATATATATGACCCTATTTCTTCCAAAAAGCTAAGTTCCATACTCTTGCAAAACTCCAAAACTCTCTAAATACTTTTCTCTCTAAATTGTAACTTTGGCATCGGAGGTTCTTCGGCCAAAGCCCCCCCCATTTCATCATGGGCGCTTGAGGCTCTTGGCCTTCACCCGAAGGTGTTAATTGTTTTGTAGGTGCAATTTTGTCCAAGAAGAAGAAGGCGGAAATTTGCATCCACAAATTGGTGCTTTCATTGAGAGTTGAAATCCATATTCGTATAAGACTCTCGCATAAAAAGGTTTTTACTCTATTTTCTAGTCCATTTGAATATTTTTCATATGTTCTTATTATTAGAATTTTTTATTTGCAAAGGTTCTTTGATAAAACGTATAAGAAAAATATAATGGCTAGAAATTTAGAAAATTCCATAAGTGAAAATTCCAATACTCAAGAAATGGGATCGTGGAGATCCATGAGGCAAATTGGGATCGTAAGCAGAGTGGCACCACCACTACAAGGTTCCACCATGGCCCAAGCCATGCCATCCAAGCTTGCACGGGCCCGAGCCCAAGCATCGTATTCACATGCACCACGTATTGAGTAGCCTACTCCCGTGACCTAACCTAATCTCGCAACCCAGCCTACTTCCGTAATCCAGCCTGCTCCTGCATCCCTACCTGCTTCTGTGCCCCAGCCTGCTCCTGCGACCTAGCCTGCTCCTGTAGCCCTGCCTCCCATGGTTTCCCAAGCAGCTCAAGTTGGCCCGAGAATATCTCAACTATCCGGAGCAACCATCGTGCGGGAACCCTACCTCCCATGGTTTCTTAAGCAGCTTAAGTTGGCTCGAGAATATCTCAACTATTCGGAGCAACCATCGAGCCGGGGGCATTTTCACCATATTTCTTCGTGGATTTGACATTTCCCAATTCAAATCTTGCACCAAGAGTCTACCAAACTTCCACTGCTCAAGGAGGCACATTCCTTCCAAGCTCTTCCAATCCAAATGGCGAACAACACTTGTCTCGACAAGTCATAGAGTTGACGAGCGCCCTTGCATAACAGACAACCTTGGTGAATCAACTCTTGCAACGCACCAAGATCCAATGTTCCCCAGACGAGGTGTCCTGAAGTAGGACAAAGGCAGACGAACCTCTCCACCAGTATCTTGGTAAACAGCCCATTAACCAGTCACGCTCCAAGCGTTCTGGCAGTTTACGCTCCCGCCTGGGTCCTTGGGATAGCGTATACTCTCATCTTAGCACACAGAGGAGCGTGCATTCCCAATCAAGCTCATGGACGAGCATACGTTCACGGTTGAGGACACACTCTGACTATCAATATAGACAACCTTCCAGATGAAATGTTCATTCACAACTAGGCTCGTAAGGAGCATTCTCCACCTCACATCGAAGTAGGCAGCACGGTAGACGGAGAGAAGCAGTCACTCAATCTGACTCAAGTTCAACCGGCAGCCTGCAAACGGCCTGTCCGCCTACCAAGTACATGCCACATGCGCCGCAGCTGCGACATTGATGAGTCGAGCATAAGGAAGAGCGACCTAAACCCATAGGTCATGATTAGAGGCAGCTGAAAGTTCCACTGCCCCAGCAAAGGCAAATTCAAGAAGAAGTTAAGAGACTCATAACTGAATGATTGCAAAATTTCCAACATAACGAGGCTGCTGACGATGCGCTTCGACGAGATATGACCAACATAAGCATGTCACCATTCACGAATGAAATCGAACGGACAGATCCACCTCGCAGGTTCACTATGCCTCACTTCATTCTGTACAAGGGAGACGAAGATCCAGATCGACATCTCAAGTACTACCGCAGTACCATGATCCTCTACGGGAACAACAATGCGCTTATGTGCAAAAAAAATTTCCACAACTCTACAAGGCGAGGCGCTAGATTGGTTTCACACTCTGCCGTCACAGTTGATCCAAAGTTTTAACAAACTTTCCTTTGTTTTCACTAAGGAGTATTCGTCTAACCGCTCAATCAAAATGAGATCCGACCATCTCTTCAGCATCGTAAAAGACCCTTGGGAGACAATTCGTAATTATGTCAAGAGATTCAAAACGGAGAAGGCCAAGATTGTTGGTTGCAATGAAGACATATCAATGGCAACATTCAGAAATGGACTTTTTACCGAACATCATTTATTTGGAAAACTGATCATAGGAGAAGAACTGACCCTAGCAGCTTTGTACGCTTTAGTAGAAAAACATGCACTATGGGATGAGGCCAAGCAGTCTAACAAAGATGAGTCGGAAGAGAAGCACATGGAACGTTCCCTAACCAAAGAAGACTTAGCGCCTGAAACATTCACCAAATTCACAGTTCCAATCGGCCAAATTCTCCGCAAGCTCAAGAACGAACCTTGGTTCGAACTGCCACAACCCATGAAAGGCAATCTTACCAAGCTGGATCATACAAAGAATTGCGCATTTCATCAAGGACCAGGCCACACTACCAACGGCTGCCTGAAGTGGAAGCAGTATCTTAAGAAGCTTACAAATGAGGGCCAATGCGACGAGTATCTTAACAAGTCAACAAAAAGGCCTACACAAGCAGGGGAAGTCTCTATCACCCCTTAAACCTCGTTTGGGTTTTTTTTCCAAATAAGTTTGAATTCTCAAGCAGCTCGACGAAAAATGTTTCACAAGCCAATGATTATCTAGTTTGTTATGTAGTTTCTGCCTTCCAGCACAATTGATTTATTTCTTTATTCTCAATGAAGATTCAAGAAGTTATTCACAAGCATGGCTCAACTGCTGTCCACAACGACTGCTAAAAAATCATACGAATTCACTTTCCAGTACGAGAAGATAAACTAATTGCTCTCCAGTGCGAGAGGGTAAACCAATTCCCCGACACCCATATGGGTTTGCTCTCCAGTGCGAGAAGATAAACTAATTGCTCTCCAGTGCGAAAGGGTAAACCAATTCCCTGACACCCATATGGGTTTGCTCTCCAGCGCGAGAGGGTAAATTAATTGCTCTCCAATGCGAGAGAGTGACTAATTGCTCTCTAGTGTGAGAGGGTAAACTAATTGCTTTCCAGTGCGAAAGGGGTAAACTAATTACTCTCCAGTGCGAAAGGGTAAACTAATTCCCTGACACCCATCTAGGTAAGCTCTCCAGTGCGAGAAGGCCACATAGTTTAAAAGATCAAATGCTTAAAGATCAACTAGGCAGCAAATGGTCAGGGGCAGCAGCCACTTTTGCACTTAACAGTTCACTCATCTGACACTTTATCTTCAGCAACTCCGATCTTGGCAGCTTTATCCTTGACTGGTCCATCTACGGCAGCTGAAAAATCAAACTCAAGCAGTTTCCTCATTTTTGGCAAGCAGCCCAGACATGGCAGCCTAAACCGTTACCCATGCCACGCCATTTGCTCGGTCCATGCCGAGCTAATCCTTAGCTTCAATTAAGCCGAGCAGCACAAGCAATGGCCCCTGCCACACCACCTTCTTGGCCCATGACAAGCCGATTCCTAACCCCTACCAGCTGATGCACCACACCACCCTGATGGCTGCCCAATGGCAGTACCTCTCAAGAAGAAGACAAGAAAAAATTAAATTTTTCTTACGTTGGTGCGACACAGAGAAGACGAAGAAATCAACGAAAGACGGTTTTTTGCATGGGCAAGATGTAGAAGATTACTAGAGGAAGGGGAACAAATATCCTCTAAGCTCTCTCTCTCTTGTAGGGTAGAATAAATCGCTCTCCAAAGTTGATTTAATAACCCACTTAAGGTAGACTTAAATAGGCTTTGAGAGAAATTTATTTCCCTTTCCTAGAATGACCTAATTTTCTATTAAAGAAGGAATCTACATAAAAATAGGAAGCAGTCATGCGTTTCCTAAAGCAAGAAGATCTCTACACCTGCTGCCCTTTCCTATGAGCAGCCCAGCAGGTGTGGGGGCATTTGTGGAGCCAAAAATAATCATAAGGCGACACGTGGACTTTTGGGTGAAGATGACAAATTTACCCTCGTGGCATACCGAGTCCCCTACACGCGAGCAGTGGAGAATCATCCATCAACCAAATCAAGAGTTCCCAAAATAGGTAACAAGTTCAAATTTGTCTCATCCATCCTCATTCCATAACCTCTAAAAACCTCCCAAAACATTTCTTTTATTATGATAATTAGCCAATTAATATATTTATACCTAATTAATATATTAATTGCTAATTGAATCACCAAATAACATCCCAAAACACACTTAAAAGCCGGCCACACCCCATTCCCTATATATATTACCCTATTTCTTCTAAAAAGCTAAGTTCCATACTCTTGCAAAACTCCCAAAAACTCTCCAAATACTTTTCTCTCTAAATTCTAACTTTGGCTTCGGAGGTTCTTCGGCCAAAGCCCCCTATTCATCATGGGCGCGTGCGGCTCTTGGCCTTGACCCGAAAGTGTTAATTGTTTTGTAGGTGCAATTTTGTACAAGAAGAAGCCGGAAATTTGCATACACAACCTTAACTATTGGGCCAACCACAGTTTCATACCCCATCTTTAAAACATTTCAATGTCATACCTTATCTTATGAATTTGTTGCAATGTCATACCTCCGTCAGTTTGTTTGTCCATTCTTCATTTAAATGCTGACGTGGCTTGAGGCGGGGTCCACTCTCTGGGCCAACCGGATTAAAAAATAATTAAATATTAAAAAAATAAAAAATAAAATTGATGTGATAAAAACTAACACACAAATTAAACCCTATTAAGATAGTTGTAGTACGCGTAAGTAGGGATCGTTCTAGGCTGGGGATTAGTTAGGGATGCTAATCAACACAAATTAAACTTAAAAACTAAAAACTAGACACTAAAACAGAAAACTAAACTCCAACTACTCAAAATAGATTAAACTGACTCAAAACACACAAACTAAGTTAAATTGACTGAAAACCAAAACTAGAATGTAATGAAAATTGAACTCAAAAGACTCAAAACAATGAAAAACAACCAATCTGGACAGATTCTAACCTAAGGACACGAAATAGAAAGGGGGTTTGGTTTTTGAAGAATTTAAGACTAAAAGCAAACAAATTTAAAGACTCTAAATACTTTGGACGAAATTGGCGATTTAAAGGGTGAATGACTAGTTAGAGGGTCCTTCTCCACATATGACACACATGCATACAAATCGATTGCCATTTATTCTTTCGATAAACCATGAATGACAATGCCCCAAATTAATTGTGAGAAGCACAAATTAACTTTCAGATTTTCCTAAATTCATTGAATTGGACTCAGCGACCAACCAAATTATTCTTATCAAGTTCCCCATATGAACAGCATGATAGAGATACATATCAAAGATCATTAAGTTCTATGAAAACCATAAGTATTGATAAGGCATTCGTAACTATGAACTTAATGATATTCCTGCCAAGAATTTACTTAACACAATCATGACTAGTGACTTTTACTACTTGTGAATATAAGTTCATAATGATTAGGTGAAATTCCCTTATATCTTAGCATCAAATTAATGCATTCAAACTAAGTAGACCTCCTTAATCAATATACAAGAACAAGTTATCAATCAAACAGATAAGTAAATTGCATTCATGATTTATGAAATCATAACTGGATGTAATCAATTCATATCACATATATGTTCATGGCTTTGAATTCTCCTCTAACTAAAACGAAATTAGTTCCACATGTTCATCATAATTGAAAACTAAATTAAACTAAACATTGGACTAAAACTAAGGATAGAAAGAACCCAAAAACGCTCCAGCACTCCAATGGCAAATTTGGCACAATCCTTGGCTGCAGGGGCACGGCATAAGTCCTCTTTCTCCTTGCAAGCACGACACACTATTAATTTTGCTTCTTTGAATTTCTCTCTAAAACCCTCTCTCTGAAATCTCCCCCAAAGCTGTGGCAAAAATAGGTTTATATAGGGTAGGGCACGACAAACTTCTAGAAGAGAAGGGATTAAATTCATCAGATTTCTAGGGGAAAAGGGATCAGGTTATTTGCATTGTTTTAGGGCTTCTAGAATTAGATATTTGGTATTCTAATGTGATAAGGAGTCCCCATTGCAGCTGGAATTAAGGCAGGATAGGATTAGGATAGAAAAAGATAAGATAAAGTTAATTTGGATAATGTTGGATAAGATAAGGTTGGTTAAGATAATGTTCCTTCCTTTTAGCTGATTCCTTATCTTCCAAGTCTTGATTTTATTTCCTTCATCTCTTCAGCATATTCCTAGCCTCTTGAACTTCAAAAACGTCCATCCACCTTGCTTCATGCATGTGTTATCCATTCTTGGCCCAAAATTGTTCCAAAATGCTCCAATTTGCACTTTCTTGCCAACTTTGGCATTTGAACCTAAAAACACACAAAAATAGCTTAAAACACTCTAATAAGCAGAAAATAGCTATGTAAATGCAAGAAAACAAACTAACTAAGTGGCATAAATATGCTCCTATAAAAAATTATTTAAATATTTTAATTTAAAAAAGGTGGGACCCATCCCCTGCAAACCCATCACCCCACCTCTTATTTCCAGTTCACCCAGACATTGAACTCACCCATCTTCGGTCACCCCAATTTCTCCTCTGCCACCTCTTCGACTCCCCCTCCCTCATTTCCTCTTCGTCCATCCGTTCCACCAGATCTTTAATTCTCACAAGCTCGAACCTGACCCGATCCCCCTTGCCTTCTTCTTCACAACCACCTCCCTTGCTCGTCATCATTTACTCCAACATTTCCCACTCTTTCTCTCTTCTCTCTCCTCTGTAAACCCTAAAAAGCAAACCCCCAAACTCTCCCTCTCTTCACTTTTTCTTTTTACAGAAAGCCAGTAGAGGCCATGAAAGAACCAGACTGCCAATCTCTCCATCGGTAAGCTCCGCACCCAAAGCGACGTCAACTCGATCCTAGCCTGCTGATGCGAAAATTTTCTTAGCACACAAATTAAACCCTCTTGTTGTCAAATTGTAGTATAAATGCAAGTAGGGATCATTCTAAACTGGAGATTTGGAGGGCTTGCTAAAACCTCTAAACTGACTTAAAAACATATAGACAAAGTTAAAAACACTAAACTAGACTCAAAGAACTTAAAACAAACTCAAAGGACTCAAAACAAGCTAAAAACGCTCAAATCTGCCTAAAAACACAAATCAAAACAGATTTTCACTAATAAAACACTTTAAAGTAAAGGGGGTTTTGGTTTTGACGAATTTGAAAACAAAACAAGTAAATTAAAGAACTAATGAAATCTGCACGAATTTGAGTAAATTGAACGGATGGAAGGCTAGCTAGGAGGTTCTTCTCCACACATGACATACTTGCACATAAACCAATTTTCAGTTGTTCTTTCGATCAATCATGAAACTCAACACCCCAGGTTAGTTAAGTCCGCTTAAATTAACCTTCAAGTTCTCCTTAAGATATTGAATTGGATGGGAAAGCGCATACAACAATTCAAGCATTCTTCAAAAGTTCTTTACGTGAACAGCACAATAAAGATACAATCAAAGATCCTTAAGCATTATGAAAACTATAAGTATTGACGAGGCATTCGTTACTATGATGAGCATGAAACTCCTGCCAAGAATTTATTTAG